GTGCACGCGTGTGTACATGTGCACACTGCCACATGGTGTACAATAATGGATATTCTCAGATGGGACATGATTCTTGTCTAAATATCTGTACTGAGATAGCGAAGTAATGCAAGTATTCTAAAATCAGCATTGAAAGAATTTTCCCCATACTGGAGAACTACTGCCCAAGTTCATGTCACTAAAATAAATGCCTCCTATTCGGAAAGTTGCTGCATTATGATTCACTGGAAACAGGATTACATTTCATTGTAATTGCAAACATGTAACTACAAATGCAAACCAAAGTAATTTGATGATTGCTGTGAATATTGCCTTACTTTATATGTGGGACAAACACAAACCACAGAGTAGCAATGTGTTTCACAGCTTTCTAAGCCTACTCTTATATATGAAAAAGTTTAAAAATAATGAAGAGATACCATGTATACAAAATGCTATGTAAATCACATTTCAACAATCTAGCTTACAGACTACATTAATTCATGTATGCTTAGTGTTTTATTATTGGAACGCTAAGCTTGTGGGAGTTCTGTATATCCAACTGTTCAAGGTCATTGCCAAGGTCTGATTTTTCATACACAAAAAATTGCAGCCTCCTGCATAAATGGGTTAAGTTCCAGTTCCACAACCTTAAAAAGACTGGAAATAGGAGAGAAGAATCTGCTCAGTAATTATGATTAAAATGTTAAATATATTTTAAAAAATTATACACAGGTTTTCACTAAAGCATTTTGCTAAAATTTCCTTTTGAAATCACAAAAAGTATTATTAAATTCTGAGTCATTCTATTACATTTATGTTTAAGATCAACATCAGTACAGCCATGGGACATTTAACAACATGGATATGTTCTGAGAAATGCACCGTTAGGCAATTTCATTCACTTTTCAAACATCACAATGTACTCACACAAACCTAGATGCCGTAGCTACTACATACCTAGGTTGCATGGTGTAGTCTACTGTTCCTAGGCTATAAACCTGTACAACATGTTACTACACTGAATACTCTAGGCAACTCTAACACAATAAGTATGTACGTATCTAAGCATAGAAAGGATACCGTAAAAACAATTATCATATTCTGGGACCATGATCCTAAATGTGGTCCGTCATTTACCAAAATCATGCAGCCCAAGCGTATATATATATATTTTCCAATTCAAAAAGTAATTTCAACTTCTTCTTTTCACAACCTGTTCTGAAAGTAAGTCGATCTGCACAGAGTAAAATTTCCCATTACAGATATTTATTTTATAGTTGACAAAATGAGAAGCTTTTTCTAAATTTTGTGCTCGAAGGTCTAAGATCTAAACCAAAATTAGGGTTTACTTACAAAGTATTCTTTAGAAGGACCAAGAACTGTTCTCCTAAAATAATTCTAATATAAAAATAACAAATATAAAATGTGAACACCACTTGTGGTAACAAGAAACTTCACCCCTTAAAATGCAATGTTAGAGCACCCTCTGCTGACTAACATCTCAGTCTGAAGAGAGAGACTCAATTTTGCGTTAGACCAGCACTTTCCATTTCCCGTGTAATTTTTAAAAGCTAAAGATACAAAGATAAAGCTCTAATCAGACATAATCTCCTTGTAAGCTCTCTACAAATCAATAACAACAATTCTATTGGGTATTCATTATAAGTATACTACTTTTCTTAATTTTTATTCTAATTTCGATAAATTGACATATGCAATCAGAACATACAAGATAGGAGAGAAATTTTAAAACAAAATGTTAGCAGGTGTGGTGAAAAAAGCCCTGAACAGACTCTCAAAATGTGAGTCCTAACTTACTTGAGCAAATTATTTCACATATTTGAGTCTCAGTTTTCTAAATAAAAGCAAGGGGTAAATTTGGATTCGTTCATTCATTCATTCACAGAACAAACATTTACTTACCCCTCCTATGTGCTACTGGTTAAGGTACAAAGCTCCTGCTCAAACATCCCACATAGATGTTTAAGCACTTACAGTAATAATAAATATGAAGGGGAGACAGACTATGATATTGACAATTAGAGCTACGGCCTACTGAGCACTTACTTTGTGCTAGGCACTACTCCAAGAACTTTATGTGTAGACATGCTGAGCAACCCAAATCCAAAAACCCAAACCCAAATGATCCAAAATCTGAACTTTTCTAACACTGACATGATGCTCAAAGAAACTGCTTATTGAAGCATTTCAACATTTCAAACTTTCAGATTTGGGATACTGTAAGCATATAATACAAACATTCCAACATCTGAAAAAACATGAAATCTGAAACACTCTGGTCCCAGGCATTTTGGATAAGGGATACTTAACCCATTTTAACTCACTGAATTCTTAAAACAACCTTATGGGAAGTACAAGGTACTGTTATTATCGCCATTTTACAGGTAAGAAAACAGGTTTTAAAAAAGGTCAGCCAGGCACAGAGGCTCACACCTGTAAAACCAGCCCTTTGGATGCCAAGGCAGGTGGATCACCTGAGTTCAAGAGTTCGAGACAAGCCCCACCAACATGGTGAAACCCTGTCTCTACTAAAAATACAAAAAATTGGCTGGGCGTGGTGGTGGGCACCTGTAATCCCAGCTACTTGGGAGGCAGAGGCAAGAGAATCACTTGAACCTGGGAGTGCAGTGAGCCAAGATGACACCACTGCACTCCAGCCTCGGTGACAGTGTGAGACTCTGTTTCAAAAAACAAACAAACAAACAAACAAACAAAATGATCAAACAACCTGCCCAAAGTTTTACCACTAGTAAGTGATGAAGCTGGGATTTCAAACGTGGTTTCTGGCTCCAGAGTCAGCATTCTTAATAACCATTATGTTACAATATACGGTTATAACATGACAAGTATATACTTAGCACACACACAGTGTAGAGATGGCACAAAGGTAGAAATGATCACTTTGGGCTAAAAAGAACCATAAAAAAGGTCATACTTAAGCTAGAAGTTAGAAGTATGAGTTAAAGGAGGGAATATATGAATGAATAATTAATTATGACAAAAAAAAGATGCCATAAAGAGCAAAAATCATTTATCAAAGATGAGCAAAGGAACAGAAACCCAAAACATTATCCAAGATTCATTGAAACAAGTAGTTTAGTACACCTGGAAAGAAGTGGGATCATGGACAACCTTAAACACACATCATGCTATAGTGTTTGGCTTTACACTGCAGATGATAAGTCAGAAAAGGGTTCCTGAGGAGAATAACAATGTTAGGTCTGCATTTCAGAAAGAAAAATTATGGCACTGGGGAAGATAAACTAGAAGTAATAGTATTAAAAGCAGGGAGACAAATTAAGAGGCTACAAAAACAATCCATGTGAGAAATCAGATGGGCCTGAATCCCAAAAGACAAAGCAGGGAGTTTAAGGCATATTTAGAAGGCAGAATCAGATTTAGAGGCTGGATGATGAAGGAATCAAGAATGGAGAGGAATATCAAGAAATATAAAAGATCTAAAATTACAGTGTGCTATTTTTTTTACAATAGAATCAAACTAGAAATCAATAATTAAGAGATTACAGAAAAACCACTAAATGTGGAAATTGAACCTATTTGTTAAAAAAAAAAAAAAAAAAAAAAATCTAAGGTTCCAAAAGAAAGCTTCAAAAGAAAATTTTAAAAATACATAGACCTGAATGAAAACAAAAACAGAACATATAAAAACTTATGGACTGCACTAAAGCATGGCTGAAATAGACATTTATAACGCTAAATGGTTGTACAGCATTGTGAATGTAAATAACACTACCATGGTTAAGATAGTAAATTTTGTTCTATGTATTTCACTATAATTAAAAAAAAATTTTTTAAGGTAAGAGCTCAAAAAAATAACCTAAGTTTCTCTTCAAGAAACTACAAAAAAAAAAAAAAAAAAGAACAAAATAAAACCAAAGCAAGCAGAAAGAATATAATTATTAAAAACAAAACAAAAAACAAAAAACACAGAAACCAACAAAACTGGAAAATTTTTAAAGCAGAGAAAAATCCAGGAAACATAACACTGGCACTTCAAAAAAATAAATAAAATTGGTAAACCTCTAACGAAGCTGACAAACATGAAGACAACACTATAGATCCTACAGTCATTCACAGGTAAGGAAATGCTATAAACAACTCTATGTTCATAAATTCAACAACTTAGAAGAAATGGACTAGCTCTCTAAAACCCATAAACTACCAACACTCAATGAAGATGAAATAGACAAGGTGAGTAGATCTATATATATCAAAGAAATTGAATTTGTAATTAAAATGCTCCCCAAATAGAAACTCCAGACCCAAGTGGTTTCACTGGAGACTTCTATCAAATATTTAAAGAATTAACAGTACTTTTACACAATCTTTTCCAGAAAATGTATCAGAACAGAACACTTCTCAACTCGGTTTATAAAGCCAGTATAACCCTAATACTAAATCAGACAACAGAAAAATAGAAAACTACAATCTCTTTCATGAATGCAAGACACAAAACTCCTCAACAAAATAGTATTTGGCAAACTGAATTCAACAATGTATAAAACTAACTACATTCCATTACCAAACGGATTCATTAAAGATATACAAGGTTGGTCCAACATCGAAAATCCACAAATGACATATTATAGCAACAAGCTAAGGAAGAAAAGTGATACAATCATTTAATTAGCACAGAAAAAGCATCTGACAAAATCCAGTATCTATTCATGATAATTGTGAAAGACTAATATATTCCCCATAAAACTAAGAACACCACAAGATGTCTACCCTCACCACTCTTATCCAGCACAGCACTAGAAGTTGTAGCCACCCCAATAAGGAAAAAAAGAAGAGAAGAAATAAAAGGCCTACAGGTTGAAAAAATGAAAATAATTTCTATTTGCAGATGACAAGACTGTTTATGAAGAAAATCCCAAAAAATCTACCAAAAAAACTCCTAGAACCAGTGTGTGAATTCAGCAAGGTTGCAGAACACAAAAATCAATCACATTTCTACACACTAACAATAAACATTCATGCTCGCTTTGGCAGCACATGTACTAAAATTAGAACAAAACAGAGATTAGCATGGCCCCTGCATAAGGGCAATATGCAAATTCGTGATGCATTCCATAGTAAATTTTTTTTAATTATAAAAATAAAAAATATATGAACGATTCAGAAAACAAAATTAAAATTTTCTCTTTTACAATACATGTGGTCTGGCAAAGAAAGACCACTAGATGAATGTTTTCAGCAGCTTTTCTCAAAATAGCCCTAGGATGGAAATAATCCAATGTACATCAGTTAATGAATAAACAATTTGTGGTACAACCACACAGTGGGGTACTATTTGACAATAAAAAGGAAGAAACCACTGATACATGCAACATGGATGAGCCTCAAAAACATTACTCAAGGTAACAGACATAAAAGGCTATATATTGCATGAATTCATGTATATGGCATTCTGAGAAAAGTAAAACAACTGAGATGGAAATTAGATCAGTAATTGCTGTGAACTGGGGGGGAAAAAGAGGTAATTGACTATAAAGGAATACCAGGGAATTTTGTAAAATTAAGTATCTTATTATCTTGACTGTGTTAGTAGCTACATAACTCTATACAATTGTTTAAAAACTCATCAAACTGTACTCCAATAAAGAATTGGCCAGGTGTGGTGGCTCCCGCCTTTAATCCCAGCATTTTAGGGGGCTGAGGGAGATGAATCACCTAAGTTCAGAAGTTCAAGACCCGCGTGGTCAACATGGTGAAACCCCGTCTTTACTAAAAATACAAAAACTAGCTGGGCATGGTGGCAAGAGCCTGTAATCCCAGCCACTCAGGAGGCTGAGACAGGAGAATTGCTTGAACCTGGGAGGCGGAGGTTGGAGTGAGCTGAGATCATGCCACTGTACTCCGGCCTGGGCAACAAGAGCGAAACTCCATCTCCCCCCACACCCCCCACAAAAAATAATTTTATTCCATATTAGTTATTTTTTTTAATTTCACATTAATTATATGCTTGGGATTATTTTTTCCTTCTCACACAGAGTCTGTTAGCCAAGTAAGAAAAATAAAGAACAGTAAGAAAGAATTAGCAGCAAAGAAAAAATACAACTTGATTTAAGAATACTCCATTCTGCTACTATCTATAACTAATTTTATATACATACTATTTCTAAAAAAAAAAAAATCTTTAAAACCAAAAATTTGTTAAAAAAAAAAAAAAGCCCCAATATTCTTCATCTATGTCCTACCAACAGGAAGATAAAGTCATATTTTTATTATCTGAGTATGATGAAAATCATGATTTGTCTAGGACTTCAGTTTTTTTTTTTCTTTTCACTGAGAACTGTCACCTTGTATGAAAAGATGAACTTAAATAATTGAATTAGGGGACAGAACCAGGGACAAGGTTTTAAAGAGAGAAGAAACATCAATTTCTGTTCTTTCTTCCCTCACTTATGAATTATCTTAACTGACAACTAATTTCCTTTCCTATCTAAACTTCTTTAAAACTCCAAAGAATAAATATAGGAAGGACGTTATTATCCAACTCAAATAAATGCTTCTCTATCCTCGAGACACTTGTATGGTCTCAAAAGTCCAAGCCTTCCAACACTTCAGTGGTAGCTGCTCTCCTACACTGATAGAAATTCACAGAATTATCCTATCTTAGGAAGCCCACTGCTTAAATGCCGGACAGTCTTACATTGATAGCCTATTTCCAGGAAGATAGATGTTTTAACATAAGAGAAAACTGCGATTATTGGTAGCAAAGAAAGAAAAGATCAAGACTAAGCCCAGAGGCCCTGGATTATATTTATGACTCTGGAAGTTATTCATGCCTCATATATATGGAATACTTAAAAACATTAAAGAAAAAGATGTATCAAAAGTCATTTGCTATAATGAGCTTACAGAATGACATAACTGTGGAAGTCATATAATACATAAAAAGTTAACACCTCCATTGAACAATGAGAACACATGGATACAGCAAGGGGAGCACTACACACTGGGGTCTGTTGGGGGGAAATAGGGGAGGGACAGCGAGGGGTGGGGAGTTGGGGAGAGATAGCATGGGGGGAAACGCCAGATATAGGTGATGGGGAAGAAGGCGGCAAATCACACTGCCACGTGTGTACCTATGCAACAATCTTGCATGTTTTTCACATGTACCCCAAAACCTAAAATGCAATAAAAATTAAAAAAAAAAAAAGTTAACACCCCCAAAACTACAATGAAGACACCTGAATATAATTACTTTCACATAAGCTCTCTAAAAGGGCAAAGAACTCCACTCTTTAATAAAAGACTTTCCAAAGGGATAAATACTGATAAAGTAAGAATATGGTCTATTAATATTTAAGTCAAAATCACTGTTCAGCAGTGACAGGAAGAAATGGGTCCAAACATTATTCACTCATAAACCTATAAAATATAAACCATATTGAATACAAGAATAACTACCATAAGGGACAGAATAAAACAGCAACTAAAAGGTGATGACTTAGCAATCACTTACTTTACAAGCTAAAATGAGGTTTCACAATTTTCCAGAGTTCCTCAACTGGGGGTGGTTCTGCCTCCATCTAGGGACATCTGGCAACATTTTTGATAATCCAGACTGGAGGAAGTGCTACTGGCACTAGTAGGAAGAGGCCAGAGCTCCTGCTAAATATCCTATAATGCATAGGGTAGCCCACCACAACAAAGATTTATCAAATTCAAATTCAAATTCAAAATGTCAATAGTGACCCTGCTGAGAAATCCTGCTTTACAATAAAACTGAGAAGCCCTGCTAGCCCCACAAAATCTTAAGATAATCTGTAATGTATATAATGCAATACAATTTACATAACTACAGATAGAAATGTCAAGTACATACATATATCCCATTGCCACTCTCCCACACTCTTTCCCCCTCCGTCCTGTCACTCTTCAATTTAATAATCATTGCTTCTTTACAGTTCCTTCTAGCCACCTTCCCATTCCAAAACCTCAAATTCTCCTGAGAAATAGAAAACACTGCCTTATCTACACCGCCTGAGGTCTAGATCTACTTAAGAAAAGTCAGAGGAGTCTGATATATGATCATAAAGCTCAGTATTGTTTTGATTTAAAAAAGAATGCTATAATAAGACAACTGTGTCATAACTACCCAGAATCACCTCAAAGGATTAGAGACGGAACCCAAAATACAAACTTGTCTGTTTGTAAAGCCATTACAAAAAAATCTACTCATTCTTGGGATCTTATCAGCACAAGGTGAGTTCCAAAATTCCTTTCTTTGCTAATAAACAGTCCTTTGATTCATATCAGCTGCATTTTTAAACATCTAACTAGATTCCTTTCATCTGTCCTAAAGCTCTTTCAAAAACTCTTCATTTTAATATTCCAGGAATTCAGAGAACAAGTCCATTTAAATCTGTCTTAGCCTGTATCTTTTTCATTCAACTGTATCCAAACGGCAGCATTTCAACACTAACAACCAGCATACCTTGAACTATCTTTTTTTAACATTTTTCTCTCTGTAATTTCCACAGTTTCATTAAATATTTTTGGAAGCACAATGAACAAAACTCCCAATAACAGAGGAAGTACAAAAAAAAACATCATTTGTACATGGATAAACCCAGGTTTAGGTTTAGTATTTTATTTCAATACCTTTTTTTTTTTCTTTTTCTTTTTCCCCCTTTTTGAGACAGAATTGCACTCTTGTTACCCATGCTGGAGTGCAATGGTGTGATCTCGGCTCACCACAACCTCCGCCTCCTGGGTTCAAGCCATTCTCCTGCCTCAGCCTCCTGAGTCGCTGGGATTACAGGCATGCACCACCATGCCCAACTAATTTTGTATTTTTAGTAGAAATGGGGTTTCTCCATGTTGATCAGGCTGGTCTCAAACTCCCAACCCTCAGATGATCTGCCCACCTCAGCCTCCCAAAGTGCTAAGATTAGTAGAGTATCTGTTCTCATCAGTTCAATACCCTTCTTAAAAATGCAAAATGTCAAATTTATTTTTCACAAAATCAATATATTTTAAATACTCTAAACCAAGCCTAGTTAAGATGTGCTTCTAGCAAAGTGGTCAACTAAATATGGCAATCAGTTTGAACAATGCCACTTAAGGTAATCGTGTATATAAAGATGTTATAAATATTTTGGTGACAGAAATAAAATTGATTAGTGTCACAGAGATGACTTTTCATAAGGGAGTTTTAAATATATCTGAAAATAACCCATAACCAAATATATTCTTATTGTACCATATAAAAATCTACTGCTAAAAATATATGAATCTGTCCAGTCATCCAAGCATCAAAACAGAAGGCAGAAATATTTTCAATAACATATTCTAATAATGGTCTAAACTTCACAAATTGTATGAGCTAGACTAAGGACTTCTATCCTCGTAGAACTTTTTTACAATTGTTTCAGGGCACTATACCTTTTTAAAGCTAGTATATACTTTATGCTTAATAATGCAGAAAAATTCACTCACCATTTCAGTGGTGTGCCTTCATATTCAAACCATATCTCACTAATGTCTTCTTGTCTCATAACCTTCTGAAAGTGCTTTTTCACTTTGTCAGTTACCAACGTCAAATAACTTACTCTTGGCAAAAGCAACTGAAATGAAAATTTGTAAAACCGCATTTATTTACTAGTTATTATTTTTTTAAATACTAAGTAGGTTTTTGAATTTTAAGGAAAAACAGCCGTGTTCTTTGCATCATTTTGAATATCCCACACAAAGTCAACTGCTTTTTATAGAAGATCAAATGTTAAAGGTTAAGATGTTTTAGTATTTCTTATGGGGCCATTCCTTTAAGCAAGCAAAGCTTACCACATAAATGCCCAGAATCATCAACACAAACCTATCTATAATCTTTCTATAACACTAAATAAAAATGTAATTAGATGTCATACTATTTAGGATACTTATTAGTTCTATCAAATTTAACTTAAAAATTAAAATGATCCATCTGAGTCAATTAAACTGTTCTGAGAAGATCATCAACTGGAGTACTAAAGTATACCTTGACTTATCAATCAAATCTTCTCAACAAGTCCATCATGTTTTGAAGGCTAGGAGAGAATGCTGGGCTAGATAAAGCCTCAATATAAACAGTATGAAGAACCTAGTCAGTGTTTTTTCCCCAGAAAAGGTACCCAAAAAATAAAATAGGAGAGTGTTTTGGAAAATCAATTATGATTCATACAAAGAACAGATAAGTAGATAAAAGAAGGAGGATGGTAAAAATTTATGGTTTTTCTCTTCCACAGTAGACACTCTAGCCATTTCTTGCTTTCCTAAGTGTCTGACTTCTTTTGCTGATAAAACTGCTGTGTTACTCTTTTGGCTGCTTTTATAATGGCACCATCTTTCACGCTGTTTATTCAAGGTGATATGTTTTGACCAACAAAACAAGTAGAACTACTAAGCTGGCAAATATATACAAAAAAAAAAAAAAAAGATATTCTGGTTGAAGGAATTTATATCTAATCATGGAAGTCCAAGATAAGAGGTACCAATCAGGTAGGAGAGTATGACATTGACCCTACGGGCTACAGGGTACAGGGGTATGGGAGGGAGATAGCTGGCATGCTCAGCATGGAATACAAGGTACTAAATACTAGGAACAAGCTGTTGAGTAGTAATATGCATTCAACAGAACGTAAGTTCTACTTTTGTAAGGAAATAACTGTGATTAGTGAAAAAAGAAAAAGAAATTCTTACTATTTAATATAAGAAAAATCAGTTTTTTCCTCCACAGGAAGTATTATAGCCCCTGTTTTACTTTTTAATAACTTGCCAATATTATATGCTATTCTTAAATGGCAGAGAAAAGATTCAGTGTATTCGTTCAGAAATGACAAATATAGATGTGACATTAAAGTCTCTTTAAAAAAAAAGCAAAACAGCATGGTAAACTAGCTGTTTTCAAAAAACACGTAAGCATAATCTGTTAGGCTAATAAGGTCTAAATTAGTAAATCCTGAACTTTAAAAATGATTATTGGCCATTACATAGTAATCTATTCCGTAGGAAATATTAACCTATGGAGATAGTAAGAGGGAAGAAACACCACAGCTAACGGGTATGGATATATCAGTTCCTGATTTTAGAGAATGTTGTACTACATGCCTCGGCTTCACTCAAAGTTACTAAATACTCCCAAATGATTTTTATGAAATAAAATCTTTTTCACAATAAGGAAAAAAGAACATTAGAATATAATCTCCATTAAGACAGGAATTTTTGTCTGTTTTCAATGCTACATTTCCACTGCCCAAAATAGTGCCTGCTTTAAAGGACACACACACAATAAATATTTGCTGAATGAGTCAGAGATGCCAAAGGTTAAGTGGGGCAGAGCCAACAATGATAATCTTAAAAGAATACTCATTTTAAAGGCAGAATCCACAATGAAATGCAGCAGCAATCTTCAGTTCCGTTTGGCTTGTGGGAGTAATTGCTAACTAATATACCCATAGTAACACTAAGAAATCACTCTAAAATTTAAGAATGACTATTCTACAGTGCATACAGATACAATTTAGCTAGGAAATACTTCAACAGGTAAAAATTAAAAGACATCATCCTGCGTTTTAATTTAGCTAGGAAATACTTAAATAGGTAAAAATTAAAAGACATCATCCTGCGTTTTACCTGCAGACTATATATACTACTCATTGTTTTTCTTAGGTGTATCTCATTGGGTTTTCTTTTGTTTTAATGTGGTAAAATATGCGTAGCATAAAATTTACCATTTAAACCATTTTTAAGTGTACAGTTTAGTAATACTAAGTACATTCGCTATCCATCTCCAGAACTTTTTCATCATCCCAAATGGAAATTCTACTTATTAAACAGTAACTCCCCATTTCTTGCTTCCCCAGCTCCCAGTAACCACCATGCTACTTTGTATCTCTATGAATTTGACTATTCCAGATACCTTATTTAAGTGGAACCATATAATATTTGTCCTTTTGTGTCTCGTTTATTTCATTTAACACGTGTCTTCAATGTTCTTTTAGTTCTTTTACTTTGAATAGGATCAACCCCATTTGGAAATACTGTCAGCTACAATGGAAACTGTAACACTCTAATTCCTCATTCAGCCCTAGCAAAAAGTATTCCATGACTATCATACAAGTGATTCATTTTATCTATACAGCCTTTAAGAATACATATTTAATGCAATTATATGGAATACTTATGTTTCCAAAAACGGTGCCCATAATTTTATTTCTTCATGCCAAGTACTATTCTGTCCAACATTTTTCAATTTTAAAATTAGAGACTTATCTAGGACAAAAATGGAAGTAAAACATACTAGAATTCTGTTCCACTCCAAAGTATAAAGCATCATACTAGGCAATGAGGATACAGCACTGAGTGAGACAGAAGAGCCCTTCCCCTTATACAGCATACAGGTTAGACAGCAAAAAGATACAAAAAGCAAAATTACAAATGTGATTAATCCAAGGAGGAAACGACAAGAATGAGTAGCAAAGGAATTTAACCTTATCTAGTGTCAGAAGAGGCCTTGACAGGAAGTATATCTTAAGGCCTTTCCCTTTGTCAAAAGACAAATAAAAGGGAAATAACATGGGTGGGTGTGGAGGTCTGGGTGTGTGTAGGTGTGGGAGATGCCTCTGCCTTTTTCAAGCTAGGGAGGCTGTGAGACAAAAGGTATGAGGTGAATACAGAGAAACAAAGATGGGCACATTTGAGTGAAGTCTAAGAAGCTGAATATGATAGGAAGGTAGAGAATTAAGACAGAATAGTGCTGAGGAAGCCCAGGGCCAGATTATACAGAACCTTGTAAACTACATTAAAGATCCTAAAAATGATGAAAAGCCACAAAGGTTTTAAGCAAGCAAGAGATAAGATCTGATATGTGTTTTGAAAAGATCACTCCAACTGCAGACCAGAAAATGAAAAGAAGGGAAAACCAAAAGCAGGAAATTGGTTACTACCATAAAATTTAATTCATTTTATTTTTGAAACAAAGTTTCACTCTTGTTGCCCAGGCTGGAGTTCAATGGCACGATCTTGGCTCACTGCAATCTCCACCTCCCAGGTTCAAGCAATTCTCCTGCCTCAGCCTCCTGAGTAGTTGCGATTACAGTTGTCTACCTCCATGCCCAACGAATTTTTGTATTTTTAGTAGAGACGGGGTTTCACCACGTTGGCCAGGCTGGTCTCAAACGCCTGACCTCAGGTGATCCACCCGCACTGGCCTCCCAAAGTGCTGGGATTACAGGCATAAGCCATTGTGCCTGGCCTGATCAGAATTTAAACAGTAGTCTTATCTAGGCTGTAGCAGTGGGGGATGAAAGGGATCAGTTAAGTCTGAGAAAACCAGCTGGAGAAAGTTACTGACTAAATATCTGGGATATGACAGAAAGAAGCACCAAACGATGAGTCCCAGGTTTCTAGTAAGAGTAATTCTTCTTGCCAAAATAGCAAGGGAATAATGGCAGATGACCAGATTTTCTTGCAGGGAAAGCTGGTGAGTCCAGTTTCAAACACACAGTTTGAGTTTCTGTAAGACATCTAAGTGAGGATCTCCAGCAGACAAATATATAGCTCTGGAGTTCAGGACAAAAATACTGGCAATTGTCAAGTTTAAAATGCTCGACAAAGACATAAAAACAGAGAAGAATTCCAGGGGGTAAAAAGTGAAGTGAAACAAGAAAACAGGGCCCCAAGAAATACCAATAGTAAGGAATAAGCAAAGAAGAAAGACACACACACACACACACAAACCATAGAGGCAAAAGCAAAAACCAAGAATACTGGGCACTGCAGGGCTAAGCAGGACAATGCCACAAAATGGAGAAAATAGCAAACAACATCAAACACTGCTGAGATCAGACAAATGAAAATTCAAAAACAGACGCCAAGCTTGGCTAAAAAGTTATTAGTGACTTTGGCAAGAATAGTTTTCTTGGAATAGTATGAAAATGTGATTACAGAGAACTAACTGGTAGGAAGTAGAAGGTAGACAATGACTATAAATAACCTTTTTTTTTTTTTTTTTTTTTGACGGAGTTTCGCTCTTGTTACCCAGGCTGGAGTGCAATGGCACGATCTCGGCTCACCGCAACCTCCGCCTCCTGGGTTCAGGCAATTCTCCTGCCTCAGCCTCCTGAGTAGCTGGGATTATAGGCACGCGCCACCATGCCCAGCTAATTTTTTGTATTTTTAGTAGAGACGGGGTTTCACCATGTTGACCAGGTTGGTCTCGATCTCTCGACCTTGTGATCCACCCGCCTCGGCCTCCCAAAGTGCTGGGATTACAGGCTTGAGCCACCGCGCCCGGCCTATAAATAACCTTTTTAAAAAGTCTAGCCATGGAGGAAAAGCCAAAGCTGAGAGATGGGGTCAAGAGAGGGTTATTGTTTCAGGATAGGAAGGATTTATGACAACATCAAAAACCGTGAAGGAGACAGCAGATAAGAAGTTGAAAGTAAAATAGAGAAGGCAGAGGTGGAGGTGGGAGAAGATCAGATACCACCAGCTTCCTGAGAAGGCAGAAGGTAGATGGAGGGCTGGGCCTTGCCGAGAAAGAAGAATACTTCTTCCATTATAGCAGAAGGGAAAGAGAAGAAAATGTGTATGAATGCAGATAGGTTTTGCAGATTTGGTGGCAGAAAGTTGAGGGAGGTCCTATCACATCTATCACATTGTTTCTATTTTCTTCACAAAGGAGGAAGTGAAGTCACTTGTTAAGAGTGAAGTAAGAGGTCAGGGCTCAGAAAAATAGTCATAGTGGAAAAGAGCAGACATCTGACTAACATACATAAAAGGATCACTGACTAATGTTAAGGGTCCATGAAATTGATGACCCTGGGTCTAATCATGATTTCTTCTAGACACAAGTCACAAAAAATAGCAATGCAAATGAGTATATGTGCTTTTATACTGGATAATATAAATGAAAAGCAACAGTTTAAATGAACATAACAGAAAGAATACCAACTGAAAAGTTATCTAGTTTCTACAAATTTCCTTCCCAATATTCCCTGCAAAACAAAATATAATGCTCAGTGATATACATACAAGATACAGGCGGAAAAATTATGCAGAGAGGAAACAAATCAAAATGCAGAAAAAAACAGGAATATATGTAATATTAATATTAAAAATATGTTCAAGCTTAATTGACAACAAGGGACATATCTGAACTACAGCTATACTGGCGCTAAAATGCTTACCTGTAATTCTAAGACTAATCATTGCTAACATTTGGTAAGTATGTATTAACTTACACTTATGCATGCACATATTTAAATACCAAAATTTGGATCATGCCATATGATTTTAAATTCTAGTTTTTTTTGTTTTATATTTATTATATGCCTATCACCCAACAGTCTTCAAAAACACAAATCATGTATAAGAGGTTTCTCTGGGTGAAGAACTACAAAGAATTCAAGAAAAAAGCAATTACTTATAAAACAAAACAATCCTCTTTCTCCTACAGTTACCCTCAACATTCCTGCCATTTTCAATTTGATTAGAAACACCTGAAAACTTACACACTAGTGCTCACAACAGTCTTTTCATATTTAAACAGATCTATAAAAAAATATATTGTATTCTTTACCTGAAATTTATTTAACTTTAGGGCATATGTCAAACACCAGAGTCTGATTTAAAAGGAAACAAGCCAGGTGTAGTAGCTCACGCCTGGAATCCCGTGCTTTGGGAGGCCGAGGCCAGATCAGGCGTTCAAGACCAGCCTGGCTAACAAGGCAAAACTCTCTCTCTAGTAAAAATATAAAAATAAACCGGGTGTGATGGTGCACACTTGTAATCCCAGCTACTTGGGAAGCGGAGGCATGAAAATCATTTGAACCCAGGCTGGGAGGTTGCAGTGAGCCAAAATGGTGCCACTGTCCTCTAGCCTAGGCAACAGAGAGGCGAGACTCTGCCTCAAAATAAATAAATAAATAAAAGTAAACAGACTTAAATTATTTTTCAGTTGTCATCAATTTGGCCGAATATACTCTGGTTTAGATACTATTACAAAGCCAACGAAGATTAAAAGTTGTAATTAAAACAGCAAAAACTTCTTTGGGAAAAAAATGGTATCCTAAGCTATATCACAGAACAAGAACAGAAAAAATATTGCTAACAAATGAAATTCTTCTAAAAATAAAACTAAAACCATACTTTGTTTTGTTTTTTGTTTTTTGTTTTTGTTTGTTTTTGAGATGGAGTTTCACTCTTGTTACCCAGGCTGGAGTATAATGGCGCCATCTCGGCTCACCACAACCTCCGCCTCCTGAGTTCAAGCAATTCTCCTAGCTAGGACTACAGGTGCGCGCCACCATGGCCAGCTAATTTTCGTATTTTTAGTAGAGATGGGGTTTCACCATGTTGACCAGGATCGTCTCGACCTCTTGACCTCGTGATCCACCCGCCTTGGCCTCCCAAAGTGCTGGGATTATAGGCATGAGCCACTGCGCCCGGCCCCATACTTTGTTTTTAACTGTTGATATTTTTCTAGACAGAAAACAGTTAATATTTCCAAAGTTAAGAATACTCACATGTATATAAGCTTCAGTACCAGTAACGAGATGGCCAAACTTCTCTAAAACTATCATTTCTAGTAAGAAAAGCCAGAAAGATAATTCCAAACAACATCCCAACATGAGCCCGGTGAAACGTTCATGCACTGAGTAGTACCACTTGAACAGCCTGTGTCAGATGCTGAGGATGCACAGAGGAAAACAAAAACAAAAACAAAAAACAGTCCTATACCCAAAAAGTGAGTGAATGGGCTCCTTAATAAGCAGCTTCCTCCAGTAATCTGACTTCCTGTAGCTGGAGCAGGCTGAGGAGCAGCACTGCCTCTCAGAGAAAGGAGGGGGAAAGCAAAGGGCAAACTTTATTAAAATGAAACAGAAGCATTTCCTCATCACAAATACATTTCCACTTTTCCACACCCTCTCCAGGTAAACACTAGCATGCATACCTGAGACACAAAAAGAAAAAACAGTAATGACAATTGTGAATATCTGTGCCTGTTACAGGCTATTCAGGAAGCAGGTAGGATGTCATCTCTGACAGATGTGTAAACTGAGATTATACATTGTTAGAAAAGAGGAAAATAGCACATGAAAATCAGAAGATATTTGAAACTGTTTGTAGAACAGATTAACTCACATCTGCAAGTCTATGTGAAGTAATTTATAATATATATTAAATGTTTTACATATTAGCTCACATATAACATACAACAGTTCAGTCAACATATGAATGTGTGTATGTGCGCATGTTTATATGTTCACTAAGCTATAAAAACACTTTGTTAAACAGTTGCTTGGAATCTCCTAACTATAAATGAATGCAATCTGAATCTATTATTTTCAAAATCTCTTCCTATTAAAAAAGCACATATCTGATGATTCCATTATTATATATTATATATGAATATATGCATAAGAAAAACAAAGTCAAGAAGGCACCATAGCTGATGATTCCATTAACATATGCACATACATGTAAGAAAACAAAGTCCAGAAGGCATCATGCCAACATGTTGACAATGGTTTTGTCCTCTGAGTGGCAGCATTAGAGGTGATTACTTCCTTCTTTATGCTTATCTGTGTTGTTTTTCCAAAATAAGCATGAATTAGCTGTATATAAAATGTTACATAACAGCCTCCAAGTTCTTAGAGCTTTTTTTAACAAAAGTGGACAAAGTTAAATTTCCCATTTGCCATAATGAATATACTTACATAGTATGGTTCTGCTTCCCTTTCAGTTATTTCATCCTGATAAAGCGTGAAGCAAGTTGGAATTCGTCCAAACCACACATCTCGAAGCACATCTTTGTCATCTGTCATTCTTCCAGTGGTTAAAGCAGTACATACAGGCTAAATTCTTTTTTCAACAAAAGCCAAACTGAAAATAAAATGAAGAGCATTAGTCAGATCCTTGCAAGGATGAATGAATTTGCTAGAAAACAAAAGATTATTTTAAAAATGAATGCTATGAAGATTATCCACTTCAAAAAAAAAAAAGTGTGATCGCCAATCTTTAGAATGCAAAAAAAACAGTACTAGAAATTCTAAATACAGAGTTATTATTTAAAGGAATCAGAATACTAATTCAAAATTACATATGCAAGTAATGTTCGTTGCATATTCAAGTAATGAACCACAGTCAAAATGAAACTATACTTGCTTCATTTTTCCAAGCCCAGAAGAGTCTACTGCTTATCTAAACAGAGGCTTCACCCATACCGTATGAATCCTGACAGTCCAACTCCAAAGGATCATTCTCAAAATTACCCCTGCCCCATCCAATATATTCACCTTTTCCTACTCCAGATAGTTCTTCCTCTCTTCCTGCAAAAATACTCTCCCATCTTAGAAAATATTCCTTTCACCTTAGGAAAAAATCTTTCTATAAACCCATTCCCCATTCTAAATTTCATCCTGACCACAATTTAATCCCACCAATACTTCTATTTTAATTATTATACTTCTTTTTGTAAACCCTCTACCAAAAATGGCCTTTTAAACACCTTTCTCTTTATACTATTATTCCCCTACCTAGTATGCTCCTCTCGCACCTATTCAAATTACTACTCTGCAAACCAAGCTCACAGTCTTCTGGCCACAATGAAAGAGTAAATGCTCCCATTTGGATCTCTCAGAATATTCCCTATGTCACAAATACAGCACTAGATTTGCAAAATGATATTCTAGGTATGGCATAAGGACACAGCTTTTGACCTCTGTAATATCCAACTGCCTTCCAGTGCTAATACTTTACAACTGAATAACACCACACAATGCATGACATAAGTAAATGCTGAGGTAAATACTGTTGATAATAATAAGCTGAGAGAAACTCAATACATGGCACCTGGATACTAAGATTCAGTATACTTATCCAAATAATATTTATCTTTGATAGGCAGCTAATTCATAATTTATCACAATGTATCCTGTGAAAACATTCTAAATCTTGAGTTTAGCCAAATATGATTAACACTGAATTATTGAAGTAGCTTGTTTCCCTTTTTTTTCTCTTCCACTGACCAATGCCAAGTACATTAAGACTGTCATAAATTAATTAGTCAAAGAAAGAAAAAGTTGAAGGTCAACTGGATGCAATGTCATCTACAGGTAAGTAAACTGCAAGTGTTGGAAAAAATACGTCCAACATAAAAGTACTAGGCAACAAGAACGCCGGTTCTTAAACTGCGTCCAGTGCTCTTTTCCAGCATACTCCAGTGTTTTAACTTTTATTAAACTATATCCATAAAAAATCAACTATTTTAAGCAAATGATATATATACATGTAAACTTCATATCATGGCACATTGAGAGGCTTCAAATTCAAACAACCATTGAGTTTCTGCATAGAGCAAAAAATTTCCAAGTTTACAAATGACACAAAATTAATTCACTGAAAATAGGAAAGACCTCACTACTTCCTGATTACATTAATAGCTTGCTCTTTTTTTTTTTTTTTTTTTTTTTTTTTTTTTTTTTTTTGAAGCAGAGTTTCGCTCTTGTTACCCAGGCTGGAGTGCAATGGCGCGATCTCGGCTCACCGCAACCTCCGCCTCCTGGGTTCAGGCAATTCTCCTGCCTCAGCCTCCTCAGTAGCTGGGATTACAGGCACACGCCACCATGCCCAGCTAATTTTTTGTATTTTTAGTAGAGACGGGGTTTCACCATGTTGACCAGGATGGTCTTGATCTCTCAACCTCGTGATCCACCCGCCTCGGCCTCCCAAAGTGCTGGGATTACAGGCTTGAGCCACCGCGCCCGGCCAGCTTGCTCTTTTTAAAGTAAATTTACTAGTGGCAAAAAATAATGAAATCTAGGTTATGACAAATAAGTAAATCTAAAATCGAATCTGATATAAAGGTGGTATGCAGTTGTTTCTGCAGCCATGATACATCCAGTTAATCCACAGCTGCAACTGAGATTCACCTTTTGACAATGAAGAGAAAAACAATTTGAGACGAAGAGCTCCTTTACTAAAAATCTTTAAGAAACTTTAATTACAAACTTAAAGTTGAAGACACTATATTGTCACTATTGATATTATTTTTCTTATCAGAAGAAACAGATAGAAAATATAATCTAAGACAATTAATTGTTCTTCCTCCCTCGCCAAGCACTGTCCTCCTCTCAAGGAGGTATAATAATCTGATTGGTGAGATTCCAGGACACCACTTGAGCCATGTTTATTAATAGGCAGGGATCATCATAAACTAAAATATACATGTGAGTGTGGCTCCCTTCTCTCCCCTCTAGGCTGCCAGATGAGAACCCTGACCATCCTGCTCTTTCTTTCCATGACATTCTCTTCTGTTTCTCCTTTCCACATCAGGAACAGTAAAATGAATGACCAATGCTCTGTTTCTGAGTCCATTCCCAAAAGAGATACAAATATAGACTTAGGGGAAGGCAGAACACCTCAAGACTTCAACCACAGGCTTGGGTTTAAAAGTTTTATGTTCCAGCAAAGTTTACCAAAGTTCTACATTTGCCATTGTTTCTTATATGTTTGTTTTCTTTTCCTTTTCTTTTTTTTTTTTTTTTTTTTTGGCAAGACCTCAAGGGAAGAACTATCTCAGCCAAAGCAGCCAAAGGTATAATGTGGTAGAGTTGATACAAATTTTGCAAAACCAACCAACTCTGCAAAACAGATTTTTGAAAACTGCAAAGGAAGCTGCTTACCACCTCAAAATACACAGACCCAAATTTATAGGATCTTAAAATGTTAATCTTTCAAATATTAATGTTTACCTGTAATAAATTATATAAGAAAGCATGTTTCCAGTTAATACACTTAACTATAAAAATATGTAAGAAAAAATTGGGGATTTCCAGAAATAGTGCCTTAATGCAATAGAAAAAAAAAATTGGGGATACATGAATAAAACTAAAGGATATAAGTTTTCAATAATCCTTTTTTAAAGAGGCAATAAAACAAAACTGAACTCTTGAGAGGCACTACAGACCAAGAGTTAGAAATGTAATATGTGGAGCCAAACTGTCTGGATCCAAAACTAGCTCCACCACTTACAGTGTGACCTCAGGTAAGTCACTTTACTTCTCTATTTCTGTTTCCTCATCTGTAAAATGGGAAAACAGCACTTACCACATTGGATACATGAATTAAATTAATTACTACATGTAAAGCATGGCCGGGCACAGTGGCTCACACCTGTAATCCCAGCACTTTGGGAGGCCAAAGCGTGTGGATCACCTGAGGTCTGGAGTTCAAGACCAGCCTGGACAACCTGGTGAAACCCCATCTTTACTAAAAATACAAAAAGAAGCTGAGTGTGGTGGCGGGCACCTGTAATCCCAGCTACTCAGGAGGCTGAGGCAGGAGAATCACTTGAACCCAAGAGGCGGAGGTTGCAATGAGCCGAGATTGCGCCATTCCAGCCTAGGTGACAAGAGCAAAACTCCGTCTCAAAAAAAAAAAAAAAAAAAAAAGTAAAGAACTTGAACAAAGTCTATCATATAATATGTACTACAAAGGTTATCTACCATTATGATTTACAGAACAAAAACATGTCTCAAAAAATTTTTAAAAGCTAAAATTTAAAGACTTTAAAAACTAATAATCAAAAGTATTATATAAATAGGAATAATAGGAATAAAAAATAGCTAAAAATTTTGCAGTACACACTGCTAATAATATGCAATTAAGAGTCCAATATTTAATTGTTTGAAATGCATAGCTGTGTAACAGATGCTAGAAAAGTAATAATGGACTTTTAAAAACCTCAGTCACAGCCAGGCACAGTGGCTCACACCTGTAATCCTAGTACTTTGGGAAGCTGAGGCGGGTGGATCACGAGGTCAAAAGATCGAGACCACCCTGGCCAACACAGTGAAACCCCATCTCTACTAAAAATGCAAAAATTATCTGGGTGTGGTGGCACGAGCCTGTAGTACAGGCTACTCGGGAGGCTGAGGCAGGAGAATTGCTTGAACCCAGGAGGAGGAGGTTGCAGTCAGCTAAGATTGTTCCACTGTACTCCTGCCTAGCAACAGAGTGAGACTCCGTCTCCAACCAAAAAAAAAAAAAACAAAAACAAAAACAAAAAAACCTCAGTCAATAACAAGATATAATCTCCAAATCTACTAAACATACCATACACTTACTGTCCTTTCTGTGCCTTTGCCCGTGCTGGTGGTCCCCTTAACCTAAAGCAGCCTTCTCCACCTTGTCTTCCAACTGAAACATCCTTTAGAACCCAGCTCAAAATAACCTTTCTTCTACACATAACTCAGGCAGAGCCCGCCTTGTTTTCTTTCGGCACCTCTACTTTTCCTCTATCCTTGTAAGTTTATATCAATGGTATTTATTTGCACATCTCCACCAGTAGACTGTAACAGATTCCCTTAGGGAAAAGAACCGTATCTCATTCATCTTTTCACCTCTAATACTTGGAATGGTATCTGGAATTCACTGGTGCTCAAAAAACACTTACTGAATTTGAATTTGTTGGAAAGACAATGTATAAATATAAAATTACAGAACCAAACAGAATCCTGAAAAATGAGGTAAGCAGATGAGACTTAGATAATAAAAATTAGAAAACAGATTATATACTACTTTAAATATCAAGTAGCTCTAGAAACACTATACATTTTACATTACCTCACACTTGATACAAGCCTGTATGTTCCCATTTTACAAATTATAAATTCGAGATGAAGATGTCAGATGATTTTTTTCTAAAATCTTGTGGCTAATAAATGGCACAACCAAAATTAGAAGCCACATCCTAACTCAGATTTCTAATCTGATACTCTTTCCCTCATACTATACTGATTGCCAGCATCCCTTCCAACTCCAAAACATCCATATGTCCATGGTATAATTAAACGTTACTTTATGAGAGCTTTCATGCGGCA